TACTGAGTGATACCACTGTATGTACTGAGAGAGAACCACAATAATCGCCCCCAGACACTGACATCCCACCCAGGCAGTCATGGGACACACGGTGTCCACGCTCGTGATAACAAAAAAAACACGTGACGCGTTTTAAACGGGTGGGTCAATTGCCACGCCACCCGCTTCGTCGTTATTTCGTACGACTGTTGCCACAATAAGCGCTGTTGCGCCCCCCCTCCAGTCCCGGACGGCGGACCAACAGCTGAGTGGGTCTCCCCGCGCCCTGTGCTCTAGCTGGTACCCACCCGCGCCGTGACTTTGTACTCCGTGTGCCCCTTTTCGTGACTCCTGTGCTCTGTCACCGAGAAACACCGGTTGTATTCCTCCTTCGCCTTCCGGGACATTCGTTTCGGAGGGCGGGGGGGGTGGGGGGCGACCGAAAAGGCGAGCAGACGGGTCGTTATGAGGGGAGCCTGAGCGACTGACTCTCCGGGCGACTCGCACGGTTTTCAACCTGGACTTCCTGTTATGGGGGCGGCGCCTGCGCCTGCGCCTGCGCATGGCTCCTCCTCCCGCAAGGGACCGTCGGAAAAGTTCACGCCGCGTCTTGGGGCAGACGTGCCGCCAGCTTCCTAAGGGACTATCTGCAAAGGTTCCCGTTTTCCTAACCGCTTGGAACAATTTTGGGTTGTGGTGGGGGGGGGCCGCTGTCCCCCTTAAAGGCAAACACAAACACGCACACTCGCACCAGGGCCAGTTTTCCCAGAAGCAATTTAACCTAACCGGCATGTCTCCGGACTGTGGGAGGAATCCGTGTGTGAGGAAACTCACGCCAACACAGATTTTAGATTTAAGATCACTTTATCGGCCCTATACAATTTCTTGCATGAGGAATTTGTCTTTTTCGCAGACCCCAGCTTGCTCTCCATGAGACACACAGACAGGGAGAGAGAAGCTGGGGGTCAGAGCGCAGGGTCAGCCATTTATACGGCGCCCCTGGAGCACCTGGGGGTGAAGGGGCCTCGCTCAGGGGCCCGGAGGAGTAGGATTCCTCTGCCGGCCGCGGGATTCGAACCGGCAACCTCCCAGCCACAGGCGCAGATCCTCAGCCACAGGGGGGAACGTGCAAACTCCACACAGACAGCACCCCAGGGCCATAGCACTGCAAGACAGCAATGCGACGTATCCCAACACATTTTTTTTTTGAAAGGTCCGCTAAACATTTGGCCAAAATCCAAATTTTCCTACACATCTGAGAGTTCACGTAAAAACAGGACCGTCCCGGAAGAAAATCTTTCATCAGACGAGCCAGCGACACCCTCTCGCGGAGTCACTATGACAACACAGCCATCCTGAACGGAAAGGACTCAGAGACAGGGACACTAAAAGCCAAACCCGACTTTATTACCGTCAAAAAACGATCAAAATAAAAACCAACACGTAAGACAATATTTATACACTTATTCTTAGCTATGTACAGAGTCCTGCCATATTACAACAAACAGCACACATACCCCTTCCCACAGTGTAATTACCAGCCAGCGGCACGAGCGTCTGCATCTGGCCCTGCATCGGGCCAGGCTGTCTTGCCTGCTGTTCAGGTCTTGAGCTGCACGTGTGTGTCAGGTCTGCCACAGCTGCGCATTCGAGCAGACGATCCGCTGTACTGGAGATCGCGTCCCTGTCAGCGGATCAGGCTGCGGGGGTGTGTCGTAGTCACGGTATAGGTTTGTACTGTCACTGTGCATTAGGGTGTGTCAGTGTGGATCAGCATATGTTAGTGCGTCAGTGTGTGTCAGTGTGGATCAGTGTATGTTAGTGTGTCTGTGCTGCAGTGTGGATCAGTGTATGTTAGTGGATCAGTGTATGTTAGTGTGTCTGTGCTGCAGTGTGGATCAGTGTATGTTAGTGTGTCTGTGTCGCAGTGTGGATCAGTGTATGTTAGTGGATCAGTGTATGTTAGTGTGTCTGTGTGTGTCACTGTGGATCAGTGTATGTTAGTGTGTCTGTGCTGCAGTGTGGATCAGTGTACAGTATGTTAGTGTGTCTGTGCTGCAGTGTGGATCAGTGTATGTTAGTGGATCAGTG